TTCTTGGATAAAGCTATAATTAAGAGCTGCAAATGAGATCTTGAGTTAATTACGAATCTTTTGTTGCTCTTCACACAAAGAAAAACTAAAAAGAAAAAAATCTTCAAATCTATCCGACCTATGGCCTCTAAATATGTGTAAATTATCATCAAAAAGTCATTTAAATGTTACGATAAAGCAAATTACAGTGATATCTATAAATTTTATCTAATATTTTATTTCATTTAATTTTTAAATTTTAAATTTTATATTTATAACGTATAAAATATATTTCATATTCATCCATTCTAGTTGTTGACAAAATTTATCACGTCGACATCTTATAAACATTTACATGTCAAAAATAAGTGGATTCAAAAACTTAAATGTTAATGTGACAAAAGTAGATACATTAGGCATTTTATACTATATAAATATCCATGTGATAGCAAAACTAAGGCAACATATTTCATTGATTTTTAATAGTAGTTGATGAAATTGGTAGATTTGATATATTTATGAAAAGTTGTAAATAAAAATAATTAAAATCACTTAATATATTTCAAATCATAAAATGAGAAAGATGAGATTTATAAAATAAAAGAGATTATTGATTATAACATCAAATGATACATGCATGCAAAAAGAAAATAAATATTATATATAAACCAAAATCAAAATCTTGAAAATGAGATGCCTTGAAAATATTTTATATATATATATATATATATATATATATATATATATATATATAGCTTACAAAAGTCTTCTTGAAAGCTGCTGTTGGATAGCTAGATTGATGTAACATTGTAAGTATTTAAATATCTCCCGCAAAATAAATATTAGAATACCTTTCTCTCCATAAGTGAAGCCATGAAAAGCAAATTCAGCTACAAAAACAACCAGAAGAAACCCCCATGAGGACCAGGCGTACCTCAAGCCCATATTTTTCCTATAACTTACTACTTCGAAAAGCTCTTTAAATTCTATAAAAATCCAAAAACTACGAGGTCTCTTATACGGTGTTGGCTGCATTTAAATACAAAAGGCCTACCATTATTTTTTTGGTATAACAGTTTTTCTCCACTTTGTCATAATTCATTATATCAATGATTTTACTGACGTGTGTAGGTATGTAAGAGGGTTGGGCTATCCGTCAACTTTGGCAGGCTCGACCAGATCCTAATCAATTTTGAATGTATTCTTTTGGGTCAGAATTCTACTCAATTATATTTATATTATACATAATATATATTATAATTAAAAAAATTTTAACTATAAAAAAAATACTCAATTTAATCTTTATACTTTTATTACATTTAATTAAATTTTTATAATTTTATTTTAAATCAAATAAATCTTTTCCATCAATTATTGATGAACTAACATCAGTCAATGTTAAGTTATCAATTTAATGCCACATGACAAATGATAAAATAAAAACAGATCACGAAAATTTTGGAGTGATATTTTTTCACGTGGCTTGAGGAATTTGCCGACAAATTAAATTTATTCCTATTAAAGACTTGTTGGCATCATAATATTATTATGCTTTGTTAGCTAAACCAAAAGGAAAGTCTATGTCCAGCAAACTAGTTTGCAAGATGAA